GAGGACATAATATAACTAGTTAAAATTGTCTATTTTATTATCTAGTAACATTTAAGACATACTTTACTAATTTTATTTTGTAATTGCTGGAAAAAGAAAAACAGCAGATTCTCATTAATGTATTAACTAGTAAAATATATTTCTATTTATGATGAAGATAAAAGGTGAGCAGATCAGAAACTTGAGAGTAAAGCTTAGCCTCTTTACAACTATACCACCTTTTAAAATAAGATTATATATAAAATGTAAGCATAAGTCCAGATGTTAAAAAAAAAAATTGTAGGGTATTTATATATGACTGCAAATCGCCCACCTATATTGTGAGGTTATATTCTTTAATACAAATATTTGCCTGTGCTATTGCATGTTGTCTCAAGGTCCATTTAAACACACTGAATCCCATGTGTTCTCAAGATTCAAAACACACTAAGTAGATCAGCTAGGAGTGGTGCACGGATCAGACAAAGGAGTATTCTGAGCCATTTCCTAATTATCTGGTTGCTGTTCTAAAAGCAAAGAGGAGTAATTCTCAAAATGTGGTCCCCTCACCAGTAGAATCAGCATCACTGGAAATTTGTTACAAATGCAAATCAGGCCCCACCCTAGACCTACTGAATCAAATACTCTGGGGATGGAATTATGCAATGTGTGTTTTAATAAGCTCTCTAGGTAGTCCTGATATATGCTACAGTTCAAGAACTATTGGCATGGAGTATTATTTCTTTTAAAGAAATACCCTGTTGCCCAGCAAGTATAAAGCTGAGAAGATAGAGCTAAGTAAAATGTGACAGAAGTTAACTTCTGTCCTCTCTGGTCAAGGGTTGCTTAGCTGAAGACTGAGTCCATATGGCTAAAAGAGTTTACAATGAATTTTAACCAGCTACATGCATATGCTTTTGGACAGTCAGATGCAGTTTCTAACTGACATATCAAATTCATCATTAAAAAATAAAAAGCAATATTGATATACATCTCTGAAACCAAAGAATAAGTAAATTCCTCATTAAAATACACACTTTTTTAGGGTAGATGGGTTATGTTCCAGATTCCTTGGCCCTGTTCAGGAAAGGCTACCACAATGAGATGAATCACAAAGAGATTCAACCCTTTTTGAGACATATCAATAAAAATAATATTATTGTTATACCTAATTGGTCTGCTTTGTGGTCAGCAGCAGAGAGAATCTAGTGCAGCAAACAAAACTCCCTATTTCCCTTAAATGTCTCAATAATGGCTAATTTCTAGAATTTGAAGTGCTGTCAACAAGTGAGTAGGCCTAAGGATAATTATGGATCCTACCATTCAAGACCATTGTATCAGCATAATATTTTGAAGGAGTAAAGCATCTTCTGCTGACACAGCACAGTTATAATACCTGTAAGTCAATTACTACATTACAAGTTCTGTAGTTTCAGAACAAATTATGGCTTCCTGAAAAGAAATTAAATTTTGGATTATATGATTTTCTTTTTCATGTACCTGTACAAATTATATTGCAGATGGAGGAAATGCAACCAGGTTCTTCCCATAGGCAATATGCGTTTATGACAAAGTGAATACAGACTAGGTATTTATTTGCAATTGATATGTACTGAAGTTATATTCATGAAATAACTAAGCTATTAAAATAATATAAACCAAAATATATGTTTTACTTGTGAGCTATTTGAGTTTTATAGGATAATAACAATCATTCGCCAATGAATGAAAATTCTTACCTGGCATGCTGATAATTCTTTTGTTGTTAATGTATTATAAAGGCATGGGTAATACAGTATGGGCACTGTAGTATAAATAATTTAACTTTCACTTTTTTTTTTTTAAAATTCTCTAGAGTAACCAGAGGGTTGTTACACCAAAATATGCTCTTAATTCGTATGTAGGGAATTGTGTTGGAAAATCACTTTATATAGGGGAAGAAATTTAGTGTTTTTTTCCTTCTTTTTAAAATCTAAATTGGACATGGGAAAAGAATGTGCCTATATGGCTCACAGGATACTATGCATGCAGTTATTAATATGACTACTTTGGGAGCCATTTTCAATACCACTGCTACAAGGTTTCCATCTTGGACTCCATACAGAGAGTGGGTTTTTCTACCAAAAAAAGGTTTTAGACACCTTTTCTGTTTCCAGAGGGAAAAGAGACTGATCCTGTAAAGAAAAAGCTGCTGTCCCAACTACAGTTGCGTTACAGCGGCTGAGAGCTGCAGCATCATGCAACGAGGTCTACAAGTGGCCAGCAGTTTGCAGATAGTATTAGAGGCAAGCGACACTGTTAGAAGCCAACTAATGAACACATGGCATTAAAAACTATTTTGAGCAAGTGTGCAAGCAATCATTTGCTAATTAGATTTCTGTAGCAAGGAGTGCACATCCTAACAGATAGTGGGGGACAAAATAAGAAGTTAACTTCAAAAGGAAGGATAAGATTTGGTTGGAAAGTTTCCCTTAGTGATACCAGCCAAGGTTTTACGACCAGTTCTACTGCGAGGAAAAACTGGGGACTGGTACTAGTACACGTTGTATTACCTTTAAAGACCACTGAATAAACCTGTATAAATGCCATATTTACTTTTCAGATCAAAGGATGAATTCTGTCATTCTTAATAATAAAATCTCTTTCATCTTTATAAAAGCCCTGTTAAGAAACCTTTTAAGAAATTGCCATTTATAGATAACTGAATTGGAAGGCCTCCATTATTTTGAGATTCCGGTGCCTAAAGGAGGCTAACTACATGTAGCAGCCAGCAACTCTGATACAATTCTGTATTAATAATAAAGCTTATTTCTGTCCAGGAGGCTGCATATTATGTTACAGTCAGACCTAGGTTCAGGTCTTGCTTCCTCCTGCCATTTCACCAACCCTGTGCAATGCCAACTGGGCCTGCCTAAAGCTTTTTCTTAGCAGCAGATGAGAAGAGATGAAAATGGAAAAGAATGAGAGAAAAGAAACTGCACAGAAAGGGAGACAAGAAAACATAGAAGAGGGTAAAGAGAGGGAAGGAGGGATGAAAAATACTTAAATTTAGAAAAGAAAGGATCTAGAGTCCATGCTGTCCCTCTAATTTAAAGTTACACTGTTAGAAGCTAGACATTCATTTAGTTTCCCCTTTAAATTATGTGTGAGAAGTTTAGCAATCGACACTGCAAGAGTTTTAAAGGGAGAAAATAGCAAAGCTCAGTATTTCTATGTTCATTTTTTTCTCTAGTAAGATGAGTTCTGAGATGTAGCCATAGATTTGCAACTAAATTCATAATGCAAAACCTGCACAGTTCAAGCTGGAGATTTTATCTGAAATAAGGAAACCATTTTTGATTGGTAAACAAGCCACCCCACAACTTTGGTTAGCGAGTAGTTTGGCCCACGCAGTTTAAGTACAAGTATGATTTGTCTAGTTAATACATAGCCTGGCAACATATCACTCACATTAGAGCTCAGCCACAAAGAGCAATAAAATAGTAGTAGCATTAGGAGAGATTTCTGGAAATATGGCATTTTAAATATAACTTCATCCATAAGTGATTTGTGATCTTTAAAATTAAAAAAAAAAAGAGAGACAGAATTTCTCACAAGAAATCAGTAATTTCGTCATTACTTTTCAAAACAGTAAGTGGACTTAAAGTCCAAATATAAAACATCAAAGGGAATCTCCAATTATGATCATCAATTGCTTGCGCTCACCTAGTTCAGCAAAAAAATTATAAAACTGAGATTGATGCTCTCGAACTATGCAAAACCAATAACACACTTTGGGGAATGGAGCTTTATTTTGTTCAAATGAAAATGAGACTGCAGTGGCAACACGGTTCATAAAAGTTTGTTTTTGAAGTGTCCCATCTTCACACATATATCCTAGTCCTTCTCATTTGTAGGATGCTAAATAGCAAGTTCATTTTTTAATTAGAAACAAACAAACAAACAAACAAACAAATAAATAGATAGTTTATTTTTTAAAAGAGTAAGAGGCCTGAGGATGATGAAAAAGACATTGGAGGAAAAATGTATAAATGTCTTCTTGGGGTCAACCTCATATGTAAAGAGGCTCAATCTTAAAAGAAGCATTTTTGGCTTTGTACATTTTGAAATAAAAGGAATCTTTGCTTTGAAATCCAACCTGGTTTTACATATATCTCACACACTTACCACAATAAAGAACAACGTAAATAAAATCTTAAACAGAAATATCCCATGTGCTAGCTACCCTTGGGATTGCTTTATGGGTGGGGTTGGTGATGGGAGAATGCCATCTACATGCCTTCCCTCTCGACGCCATGTCCAGTCCTCAATTCCCCAGATGCTCATGTTTGTTTGTGACAGTAGGAAGAGGCAGGTGCACAGCTAGTATGTCACTGTCTGCCTGATCTAAATAAGCAAATGAGAATAAGTAGGAAGTGCAATGGTCTTTAGGGTTAGGGGGGAAATCAGCCAGGTAAAAGATAAGATGCTTACTATCACAAACCTCATAAAAGAATCTTTCTCCTTCCTTCTTCTGCTCGTGGAATTGCAAGTCAAGATGTTAGACAAAGACACGACACATTACAGACACAGCACATGACACATTTTTGACACAGATTTTTTGATGTGAAAAATTAACCACATATACAAAACCACCAGTGTCACAAAATACATTTCAGAGCAAACATCGATATCAAGTTGACATTCCACATACAGTTAAAAATCTGCAATTTGTAGAACTTTACAGATCATTAGCATATATATATTTAATTCTGTATATATATTGTTATATATACACTATAAAAGGCTCTCGATCATCTTCCTCCTCCCATTCACATTGCTAATGTATTTACTGAAGTATTCTGTTGTGGACATAATAATTAACTTTAGTTGTTAATGGGGTTTTAAACAATTGTCATTTCTTCTCCTTTAGCTAAACCATGTAAAACTTGATTATGAAACTTTCTATAGCAAAGAGATACGCTGCTAATGATCTCTAAGTAGGTATTTGGCAAATGCAGGCATAAAAACATACAAAAAAATTCCCTCCCATGGATTCAAACATTTTTTCCAACTGGACTCTCAATTGTTGAATATTGTTCATCAATATACAGGGCTTTAAATAGAGGAAACAAGAAAAAGAAGTGTGAGAATCCTTCATACACTCAATTATTGAATGAGTTTACCTTAAATGTAATGGTATACAATTATCACCAACATCCAATTATATTTGGCAAATGAATTCTGCTACTTTAATACGCTTTTAAGAGTTAAGAATGAAGGGTGGAAAATATAACGACCACTTTGAAGAATTACATTTAGTAATGTACTCAGATAATAAACCATTGAAGACTTAATACTAAAGTTTCTTTTACTCTTAACATGACATTTTATACGTAGAAATTAACCAAATTCTGTTTATAAGAAAAACAGATTAAAATTTTTTATTTTACTTTTTTAAAAACCAAAACACTACTGAATTTTAAAAATCCAAGAAAAAAATTTAAAAACACCTTAAATGCATTCTCTTTGGCTACAAATAAAGTCCACATGTTGAAGGCCCTTCATTATTTGGCTCCAAAGCATATTTCTTTATCATCTCCATCTGCATTATGATTAACTCTCAACTCTCAGCAGTTCATTTGCTCCAAAACATCTGCACTTTCCAGATGCTGTGACTTAGCTTAGCAGGTTGTTTCTTCACGTAGTCTCTTTGACTATTTGAATCATATCCATCATTCAGGTTATAGCCTTCTCGTTCCTAGATTGTATCTTTTTGCCACTCGACATTTTATTTTACTTTACATTTGAGTTGCTTTTCACTGTCTCACTAGCTGACCATAAATGTACCATATCTGCTGTTGTGTCTTTTTCTGCTTTTTTTTCTCACAGAGTACTGCACAGAATCTTATACTTGCTTACAAAATGTTTCTTGACTTATTGTTTCTAAAGAGGTAGAAATATAATGATAGCATAAAGATGCAAAGCTTTGTGATAAGGCTAGATGTGAACTTAGAAGAGTAGAATTTAATTTATAAATGGAAAAAAAATTCAGACTAGTTTTAGAATAATTTAATATTTGTGGCATAGTGAAAATCAAATTCTAAAGAGCCAGTAGATCGGAAAGAAAAATGGAAAGAAAAACAGAAAAGGAAAATTGGTATATCTTCCAAGTTGCTGAGAAATAAGCCAATAATGAATCAGAGAGAGGCATGCAAAGGACTTACAGGACATTAGAGAGGTGTTAGCTCTCATCAGTGGAAAGATTTTATTATTGCTTTAACTGCATTACTGACCTTTGAAAAGTTTCTACTCAAAGTGACCACATCCTAACTTTGATTTGCAGAAACATTTTTAAACTTCTGTTGTTTCCTTGATTACAATCCTTAACTATTTTAGTTTCTAAAGACATATATCTATTTGTCTCCTATAGATGCTGTTCAGTAAGCTGAACCATATGTTTCACAAATACCCTGCCATGATTGAGAGACACCTGATCTAGGCTTAGTCCTATCCCATAACATGCATGGCCAAACTTTCAGGGGATTCGGTATCTTGACCCAAAGTCAACAAACTGAGGCAACGGTCTTTTTTCCACTAGGAAATAAATTTTTGTTGTTTGTTTTTTGCAATGGGGGAAGATTTGGCTTGGATTCTGCCAATCCCACCTGGGAGGAAACTAAAGTCAAAATAAGACCATGACTCTTAATGAAAAGCAAGATGACTATATAGGTGAAATGTTTTATCTTCTTTCTTCCTGTGGGTCTCAAGTAGTGGGGTGGAGTCTTCTATGATTATTTGATATTAACATTCAAGTTGATCTTTTTTGGTACTTGTAACAGTACTCTAACACTAGTTTTATAAATAAAAATTCAACCTCCAAGCCTTCTTAATATGATCACTTCTGATGGAAAAGAGCTACTAAGAAACAAAATAAACATAGACCTTTGGGCTCGCTTGGCATGGATTGCTACTGATCCCAGGTAGGGCTACATAGAAAAAAGAAATACGTTTATCCAGAAGGAGATAAAAATCAGACTTTCCCCTTGAGCTAAGCTTTCTCTGACTTTTAAATGTTCAAAATGCAATTTTATTGAATATAGTTATCAAAACACTACTGAGAATTGAATTACACAAATCTACCTTAAACATAAACAGCTTTTACTTTAAACACCTCTGTAGTAAATGGGAAAACGAAAACCAGCACCCGCAGTAAAGGGAACATTAATCTCACACAAAGCATCATTTATTGATGAGTTAAGCTAGATAAAATAACCTATGTCTGAAGCCAAGTTGTAATCTTTTAATTTGTATATTTTGGCTTTTCCCCCTAAAACTATCATAATGCATTTCATTTCATCTAAATTTGGAACAAAGTTAGGAACTTAACATACAATGACTATGAAAGTTAGTTTTGTTAAGACTATATGGCCATTTCTACATGATGAAATTATGTTTCTGAGTTGAAAAAGATTTTTAAAAAGACTCGAAATCAAGTAATTCTGATTTAGATAATGTTGCTTTGCTGTATTCTGGAATGTGAGGAAACTGGATTAAAAACTTATGACACATTTCCAGTTTAAAATGTCACAGTAGAGAAAAAATTATTCTGCTACAGATACTTTGTATAACTGTTGACTTTAATTCTAACCCAAGAAAACAAACGTTATCTCTTAAAAGATGTTTCTCTTTAAGTGTCTAGCTCCATTTGCAGAAGAAATGGGTATATTGCCATACATATACTGAGAAAAGAGAAAATGTTTCAGTATTCTTAATATTGAAATAAATCTGTAACAATAATTATGTATAGACAAAAATGTACAAAAGAACTTCAATTTGTCTCAGCTGAAAGCATAAACTAAACAGCTAATTAATATTCTTTCATGGAAAAGCTAAAATAATACTTGGCATTTGAATGAAACTCTAAGACTGGTCAGGATGTCAGTAATTAGGGAGAAAAATATTGTGGAAAGGAAAAGTTCATTCCTGTGCTGTAATATTTGCAAGGTTGTTCTATTCTTCATAAAAATCTGAATTTGAAAAGCACAAAATATACAGAAAATACAGTAAATACTGCTTTATGATTTTTTCTGTTTTTTAAAAAGAAAATATACTCTAGAACATTAATACAAAGTAGAAGTCTGCAGAAGCCTTATATGAGTAATTTCCTTTTTGAATGACAAGAGTTAGCCTTGGTAATTTATAGCCATCTTTCAAAATCTTCAATTTGGCTATCCTAATAAAATCAGAGTTTTTTCCAAAATTTTCTGGCACTGTTTTGATTTTCAGTATGTTACTTTTCAAATGTATTATCTTTTGATTAGAAATATGTGCTTTCAGTAAATAAGTACTCTTTCTTGCCTATTAGAGTACTAATGATCAATGGCAATTAGAGATACCTGCTGAGATATCTGTAAGTTTAATAAAATTCCTGGGCAGCATATTAATTGAAAAGAGAGAAGAATCTTCTGGGACTCTCAAGAACCATTAGGACTGACTTATCTTAATGAGCTGTCAGCAAGAGGTCAATGAGGTTTCAGGGAGCAGACTAGTAGCTTCCCCTAGACTTTTAACTTGTCTGATAGTACTGATTTTTTTGAGGGCGCGAGGAATGGTTATCCTTTTTAAAACAATGGTACTGACGTTTTAAATACCTTTTCTTCAGTGTTTTTTTTTTTTAATTCTTATAATTTTACCAACATATTTCTCTAGTATTACATATAGTGAATAAGAAAGATTTCACCTTTCACCATAAAATAACACGTTATATTCCAGATCACTTTAGTTTATCTTGCTTCTCTTTATGTCTTTTATTAAGTTTCAGCACTGGTTTGGTTTTTATAAACATTCTCAATTATCAAAAAAATAAAAATAAAAATAAAATAAAAGCTTGAATTAATAATTCAGAATAGAAGTCAGCATCATTTCTTACATTAACCATCCTTCTCAATTTATTTGAAAACTGAAAGACTAAATTATACTTATTTTAGTATTAGTGCAAAACTAAACTAGTTGGTGTAAACACTAAACAACTTTTAAACTCCCTAGTGCTCAGCTCTAATATTTTATAATAATATGAGTTTTCAATTATTTATGTCTTATTCCTTATCATCATGGAACACAAGCTGCCTGGCATTGAGATGCTCTCAACCCTCCTCTGAGTTCTGTACTGTAACCAGTTCATGACGACTAGAGAAGTTTGCAAACAACTTCTTGAGATCTCTCTTTCCTATCATCCAGTATGAAAACAGAAAGAAAATTTCTCTTGCTTATTTATTAGTTGGGAGAAGTGGATCTCAACTGAGGAACACTTGAAACTAGAGACAATTTTACTTACCACGTTTTCCTTATCACAATGTGAACTGAAATCACTTGATACAATTGCAGCATACTGAAGCAGTACTTTATTGATAGTCTAGGAAAAAAACATTGACAAATGTATTCGGGTAAGTACATAATTTTATATATACACTGTAGAGGTTAATGCTAATCAGGCAAAATTTTCATGTCTTCTTCAACTTTTCATACGCAATAATTAAATCTATACCCTTGCCAAAAGAAGGATCTCAGTTAAACTATCATATTTAGATGACAATTTGTCACATTTCTAAGTATATTTGGAAGATATTCCACATGGATTCATTCTATTTTAATACAATATGTTCCATCACAAAATTCTTTATTTCTAACTTTTTAAACATTTCGAATATATACCAACTATTGTGTCAACCTCCTCTATGCTTGAATATTTATTACCTAATGACCACTAATGCTCTTTTTTCTGAATAAATGACACTTTATGCTTTGAATCATTTCTGATGGTTTCTAGTTTCTATTGGTTATTTTCTAAGTCTCCTTCAACATTCTTAGATACTTCATTGTAAATGGGGTCAGAGCATTCCTGTACACATACTTAGCAATAAATATTTTCAGTAATTTTCTGTGATAAGGAGCCTTACTGATAAATATCAAAGACCACCTTTTAAAACATAAAACTTCAGCTTTTGCTATCTCATAGTATCTTGATACCTTTACTTTCAATTTACTGTTATTGATGCATTATTTGCTATAAAATACTGCCTAATCTTTTCCCTTTCTGTCCTTTTCTTCCTAATTCCACATTGTCCTTCTCCATCTAATAACTATTTTTGAGCCTAAGGATGCCCTTTACTTTCATTAATTATACCAAAGGAAACAAACTTTTTACATTTTATTTTAATTACTAAAACTGTATTGATGAGTTTGCATCCTACTGCTTTTACTTACATAGCTTGAATTATGATAATCCAAATGTAGATATGATTTTCTTAAAGGAGAGAAATCAACAATAACAGGAGATATATGCCATCTTTTTTTCATAGAAAAACAAGGACTAAAATCTTTTCTTTTTTGTTTAATGTAGTCATCTGGATTTTCTTTGTGGCTTAAAATTAACTTGAGGAGACACTCCAAGGAGTTAAACTGATGGAAATATTTAATCTACAAACCTGAATTCACCAAATGTGACTATGAACTTGTTTTATAGACATTTAAGATTATAATGAAAACCTCAAATTAGGGATAACATGCAGAAAGAAATTCAATACTTGTGGAAGTACAAAGTAAAATGATAATATGTGTCAATTTAAATAGAAAATCAGCCATGGAATATATAAAATTTTATCAGAGGACCAATAAATCTAGGAAAACAGATGGCTGATCAGATTTCAGTATCTTTCAAATGCAGCTGTTCAAATTTTACTTTAGACATAATGCTGAAAATTACTTTGGGACTTATCTAAGGAATACAAATCCATATATATGAACACTACTCCCAGTTTACAGGTTCTAATGTCAGTATAAGCTGTAGAAATCATTTCACTAAATTGCAAAAACAAAAGCAAACAAGCCTGACATTAGGAGCTTTTTGCAACTCCTACATTATCACTTGTTCAAGATATGGGCAGAGAATCCAGATGTCCATTTCTGATCATCCTCAAGGTATTCCCCTAGGGTCTAACACTTGACTCTACTTATAGGAAAAGCTTAGTCCTTTGAATTCCTACTAGGAGATAACTGAGCCTAGGATCTCACACTCACAAGCTTACAAATGCCAGTGGCTAGCAAATCAGGATGGGTTGTGGGTAAAGTGCTCAGCCAGATAGAAAGTGGTTTAAGGCCTTGTGCCCATAAATGTGGGTATGCTGGCTGTAATAATATCTATTTCTTTACTACTATACAAAGTATACCTGAATATGTGCTCATGTACATTATAGGAGCAACTGCAATTTCACTCTAATTTATTCAACAAAGTAACTATCAGACATTAGTTCTTTAATTAATACTAGTAGGTAGTTACTTAAGACATGTCTACCTTAGACATGTCTCCAGCAGCAACATAAGCACCATCCAGCAACTTGTTGGAAATGAAAATTCTCTGATTTTATCCTGGATTATAGAGTCAGCAATTCTACAGTTTGGTCTCAGCAATCTATGTTTTAAAAAGCCTGTAGGTGATATTGATGCAACCTGAAGTTTAAGAACTATTGTCCCAACTAATGCATAACAGGGTAGAGATAACTCTTTAGAGAGAACCTGTTGATACAAGGGATATTTAGTAAGGCCTGGAAGACAGGATGTGTGTGTGTGTGTGTGTGTGTGTGTGTGTGTGTGTGAACTTAGATCATGACTTTATCTTTGGGAGAATGTTGGCGTTCAGTAGTGACAGCATACATAGAAAGAGGCAACAGACAGCCTAGCAGGGGCTGTTTGCATTATGTTCTATAATAAAACACAGTTTATATGAAGAGAGACTCATGAGGTATAAACAGTTCTTTTATGGATGCAGCAAAGAAAGTGCCAAGAGCTCCAGATTAAATGAGATAAAATTCTAATAGGATTGTGGCAATGAATTGAGGGCTTCTGCTGTATTTAAAGAATCAGACAGAATGACTAAAATATCTTGCAGCCTCAATATGCTCTGATTTGAAATGCAGCTTCTGGTGCTATCGAGTGGGATGGCCATCAATTACTCAGAGTCATTATGGTTTCTTGGGCTAATACCACGCTAGTAGGAATAGGCTAAATTAGCCTGTCAACACTACCGGTAGGCTGATTACTCTTATAATCAGTAAGATAAAAATCCTGGTCCAAAACCCATCTTTGCAGCATCTTAGGCATGGAGCATTACAGTATCAAAGCAATGCAGAAAGGACAAGAAGACTGTGTAGTATCCATTAAGTGATTTTAGATATGTCACTTCAGTGCTTTACAACCGTATTTTCATGCATCCAACAAAGAGAAACCCGTATAAATGCCTAAGTTTGGCTCAATTGGTAAAAATAAATGCTGAGATTCTGCTCTCCAACTTGCCGATTTCTGAAACACCAGAACGTGAGAGTAGTATAGCTTAGTGGTTAAAAGTATCCCATCCATAATATTTCTAGGTAGGTTCTTTGTTTTAAACTTCTTGAGTTTGTTTGTCATTTGAAAATTTAGGGAAATAATAGCATCTGTATCATGGAGGTTGTTGTGCAGAATGTCAGATAATATATGTAAAGTGATTAATACATAGTGATGCTCAATGAACTATTATTTTTTAAAAATTAGGACTAGGTTCCCAGAGAATAAGGAATATATGTGCCTCATTCACCATAGTATCTCCAGCACCTGGCGAGCAGCCAGATTCATAGCCAGGAGTCAATTAATATTGGTTGATTGGTTTAAGATATCATTACTTCATCTTTCTCTTTTTAAATTAAACCAGGGATCCCTAACCCCCAGGCCATGGACCAGTAACAGTTTGTGGCCTTTTAGGAACTAGGTCACATAGCAGGAGGTGAGTGGCTGGCAAGCGAGCGAAGCTTCATTTGTATTTGCAGCCATTCCCCAGCACTAGCATCACTGCCTCAGCTCCACTTCAGATCATCAGGCATTAGATTCTCATAGGAGCACTGGCCCTGGTGCCAAAAAGGTTGGAGATCCCTGAATTGAACCACCCGTACTTGTCAAGAACAGCAGTATAGCCACAGGAACATGCACAACCCATGTCTCCGGTTTACCATGCATCACGGCTCCGAGATGCACCTGCTATGAAATTTGAAGCATTTAATTGGTATCTTATTGAGTCTTTAGTAAGAACGAATCATCTCTTTAAGGTCCATTTTAGAATGCTAAATTTTCTAAAATGTCCACATATAGCATTAATATGTCTTCTCCAATGGATGGTTTAAATCAGTGTTAAGCCCCAGAAAGAGAATATGATTTTAGTATATTTCAATATAAGGACAAGGTTTTCAAGGCTGATGGTCACATTTGATGAAATAAAATAAACTCTAATAGTCTGGAGTTACTGTAAAGTAGCTAATTATATTAACTACAAAGTACCATTTTTATTTTTATGATTTAAAAAAATTATTCCAATAAAATAGAAGTTATTTCTCAATGGAAGTTACTAATTTCTACTTTCCCAGAAAATGTTTTTTATTATTCTTACATTATTTCCTTGTGATAATAATTGGGCAGTATTGAATTCCCATGTTTTACTTAAAAATGTTTTACTTAATTGAAATTATTTTTGTGCCAATAAGAGTCACACTTCATCACTGATACATGGAACGTAGTTATTTTCTTTTTGCTTTAAAGAATATATTTTCCTGCATGTGATTCTAATACATCCCATTTGTGACCTCACCCCTTTGTACTTCCCTGCAGTCCACTTGATTATATCCACAGTGGCCTCAATATGGCTAGGTTCAGCTTTATAGCTGGAGAAAGGTCAGGGCTACTAAGAGGTGGAGGATGAGCTGGAGCTCAGAGCCTAAGAGTCCAAGTTCAGCTTTCTTCTTTCTCTCTCTTAGTGCTTTCACATCTACACCTTACATAACCTGCTACCTGACTATTTTGAGGGCGAATTCTAGTTATTTTTCTAATATCATGTGCAATTATAATAGCATGTTACTAAATATATGAACTGAGATTATTAAATTCTCATATGATCCTACCTCTACTACAAGTCCTACAGTTCCAAGAATAGCGTGTGACATACTTTTTTAAACACTATCCCTGATAACCCCATTTCATTCTTTTCTTGGCAGACACCCAAAATGCAGCTGTTAGTCAAGAAAAGGCTTAGAGAATTTCTGCAGAATGACTGTAGATTTCACCATTGAGAAACTGAAGTCAGCTGCTGCTAAGAAAGTCCTCTCTAGGAATGATTCCGATAAGTGATTTTTAGCTATCATCTTTAAAAGTTGGATGTTGCTTTATTCTTCCTAATTGACATATATAAAGACTGGACTTCAAAATATTTCATGGCAGATAAATAATGTAATACAGTTTAGGCTGACAGTTTTTCTGCCTCAGAGTCTTCATTGGCTCCTTCCTCATTTTTTACTAAAGAAATTTAGCCACTTTGCCTGTTCTTCAAGACTCTGTACAATGTGGTCCTAACTTTCCAATTGTAGTTCCATCCATCCTCTATGAATCTTGTGACATCTCTTCATTGAGACCTCTCAGGATAGAATCCTTGATTTATAGAATGGTGGCAGGTGACAAATATTCTTTCCTTGACCAAACTCTAGCCAAGCTCTCTGATCCCTATTGGCAACCAGGCCTCAACCTTGGCCTATAAAGACTTGAACGAACACTAACATAGTTTTTAACAGCTGAAGGCCACAACCCTAGGGTGACCCTAGCCTTCCTTAAAGTGCCTACCTGCAAACACTTGAGGCTGCCAAAAGAATTGATTGTTTATTCCATCCAACACCTGAAGATGGGCCCCTGTCTCTCAGCCTCTGTAGGAGGGTAGGAGCCTAACTTCAGTAAGCAAACCCAGATGGGTTTACATGAACCAACCCCCTCTCCTTGCTTTTTGTAATTTTCCATTTCCCTGATGCTATTGAGCTCCCACATGCCCCACTCCATACCCCCTCATTTTCCCTTTAAAATGCCCAGTGACCTCTGTACAAATTAAAGTTGAGTCCAGTTCACTCTGAACTACTATTGCAATAGTATAATACTCATTAAAAACTTGAATTTTTACAATTTTAACTAGTATCTGGCTTTATCTTTGACAGAGGCTCCCCTACAGAGTCACCCACCCCATATCCCATACCTGATGCTGTGTGAACAAGAAGTAAATCTTTGTTGTGTTAAATCATATATGTTTTTGGTTTACTTATTATTACCTCAGCATAAACTATCCTCCCACAGCTAGTATAGATGCTGTCTCTTAATCCATCTATGAGTAAACCAGATTTAAACTTTTCTAAGAGTCAGAGCTAATGACAGTGTCAGGCTCAAGCCTCCCATTCATAAAAGACCTCAAATTTAGAACTTTTATGATAATGTAAATGAAGTTATATAGCCTTTTGTTCGTATCTGTTGTTAAAAGCAGTATCATGTTAAATGTATATGTCTTTTATGGGCTGAATTGTATCCCCTCAAAATTTTTATATTGAAAGCCTACTCCCCAGTATCTCAGAATGTGACTATATTTAAAGATAGGGCTTTTAAAGAAGTTATTCAGTTAAAATGAGGCCATTAGTGTGGGCCCTAATCCAATCTGACTGGTGTCTCTATAAGAGGAAATTTGGACACACATAGAAACACCAAGAGTGCATGTGCACAGAGGAAAGACCATGTGAGGACACAGGAAGAAGGCTGCCATCTGTAAGCCTAGATTAAAGAAGACTTAGAAGAAACCAAACTGTCTGTCTGTCTGTCTGTCTGTCTGTCTGTCTGTCTGTCTGTCTATCCATCCATCCATCCATCCATCCATCCATCCATCCATCCATCCATCCATCCATCCATCCAATTTATCTATCTGCCAGCTAGCCAGCTAGCTGTCCATTTTCTGATATGCCCTGATTATAGCATTTGACTGTGTCATATAGTTTACAGGTTTGGCCCTCCTATTATCAGTTTCTTATGTCAGAGATTATGCTTATTCTTGACTAATCTCTCAAAGTGGCTAGTAAAATGTAGAAGCAAGAGAAAGAGAGAGCACTTGAATGGACAGTTGAGACCTCTGCCATCATCCAACTCATAAAGCCAGATTTCTTTTTAGGGCACTCAGATATAGGACTGTGCTGGTCATTCCCCAACATTACTCTATTTGTCATATCATCACCCTGCTTAAAAATCTCCAAATGTTCAGTGTTTTTTAAAATTGTTCAAAAGAGTAAGTCTAAACTTCTCAACTTGGAAAACAGAGCTCTTCAAAACTTGGACCCATCTTTGCTCTCCCAACCTTTCCCACTGCTCCTCCCAGAATAGATGTTTTCACAAGTGTTGTTTCTCCCTGCTCTGCACATGTCAAGCTCAGTATTACCTCTCCATTCATCTCTGCTATTCCCGTGGCTTAAAATACTTTTCTGACTTAACTTTCTTTAGGCTGAATGAGCCCCATTTTCCCATAAAACGTCTGTCTATTTTAGCTCATTATTTTTCATTCCACTAAACTTACTGTAGATCCCACAATACTTGAGAACTGAATTGCGTCCCTCTTCATGTCATCTTCCAATTACTTCATGTCACATGGTCTTGATTGTGTTTTTTAATATTTGAAAGGAAGAGACTGAATCTATTATTTATTTTTAAAACATTTTAAAATTTTATATTAGTGTGTATAGCATAGTGGTTAAAAATTTATATAATTTACAAAGTGATCCCCTCAATGAGTCTAGTACCCACCTGGCACTACTATATATAGTTATTACAATATTATTGACTATATTCCCTATGCAACTACCAATTTGTACTTCTTAATTCCTTTACCTTTTTCACCCAGCCCCTCAACACCTCCTTTCATCTGGCAACCATCAAGTTGTTCTCTGTATCTATGAGTTTGTTTGTTTTGTTTACTCATTTATTTTGTTCTTTAGATTTCACATATAAGTGAAATCATATGATATTTGTCTTTCTCTGACTTATTTCACTTAGTACTATACCCTCTAAGTCCTTCCATGTTGTCACAAATGGTAAGATCTCATTCTTTTTTATGGCTGAGTAATATTCCATTGTATATATGTACCACTTCTTCTTTATCCAATCATCTATTGATGGACACTTAGGTTGCTTCCATATCTTGGCTATTGTGAATAATGCTCCAGTGAACACAGAGGTACACATATCTTTTTGAATTAGCGTTTTGGATTTCTTCAGATAAATACTCAGAAGTGGAATTACTAGATCATAAAGTAAGTCTATTTTTAATTTTTTAGGAACCTCCCTACTGTTTTTATTAGTGGTTGCACCAATTTGCAATCCTATCGACAGTGCATGAAGGTTCCCTTTTCTCCACATCCTTGCCAACACTTATTTGTTGATTTATTGATGATAGGCATTCTGACTTATTTCACTTAGCACAATGATATTTCATTGTGGATTTAATTTGCATTTCTCTGATTATTTGTGAAACTGAATATTTTTTTCATATGTCTATTGGCCATCTGTATGTCCTCTTTGGAGAAATGTCTACTTAGCTCTTCTGTCCATTTTTTAATTGGATTGTTCATTGTTTTGGTGTTAAGTTGTATGAGTTCTTTATAAATTTTGGATATTTACCCCTTATTGGATATATCGTTGGTGACTATATTCTCCCATTCAGTAGGTTGTCCTTTTGATTTGTTGATTTCCTTTGCTGTGCAAAACCTTTTTAATTTGATGTAGTCTCATTTGTTTGTTTATCTATTTCCCTTGCCCAGGTTGATATATCAGAAAAAATATTACTAAAAGCAATGTCAAAGAGTTTATTGCCTATGTTTCCTTCTAAGAGTTTTATGGTTTTCAGTTTTACATTTAAATATTTAATTCATTTTAAGTTTATTCTTGTATATAGTTTAAGAAGGTGGTCTAGTTTCATTTATTTTGCATGTTTTCTGTCCAGTTTTCCAATACGATTTATCGAATGGTCTTTACTCCACTGTATATTCTTGCCTCCTCTTTCATAGATTAATTGACTATATAGGTGTGGATTTCTGGGCTCTCTATTCTGTTTCATTGTGCATCTGTTATTTCTTATATCTCCTCTGAAATTCTCTGCAAGCTTTCTTAGACTCTATGAGAATGAAGAGGTCTTAACAGAAATCTGGTTGATCAAGATCAGTCAGTCAAGGAAGAAAACTAAATTCATAAAAATCAGGGGGAACAGCTTAGATTTACACTCCCGATAGTGGATGATTTAAAATCAGAATTCAGTTTTCATGACTCCAAGTTCAATGTACTTTTTATTGTACTACAGTGTCTGACAAAAAATACTTGCAATTTGAATATGAAATGCCAAAGCTTATTTTCAGCTCTGACACACTACATTTAAAACGGAAATAATTTGGCCACCCATGGTAGTATCTTCAATTACAAATGAATGAGTCATTAATGTGAAAAACACATAGACTTTTTAGGATAAATACATATTTAAGAAACAGGAAGTGCAGAAAAAAGTCAGATGACAAACCTGAAACCACTGAACCTATTAGCACTAGAATTAGAAATTAAATTGGGGGTGTGGTGTCAGAGAAGTTAGTACAAAATGACAGCATTATTCAGGTTCTGTGCAGGCAAATAATAACATGGCACAGTCCTAGCAAAGAAAGGATTCATTCCATTTAACCCACCTTTGCAAATCTTCTCATTAAGTGAGACAATGCTTCAGGGTTAGGGCATTCCAGTTTCTTAATTATCTCAAAGCTCTGGTTCAGCTGAGCAAAGACGTCCACCACGGAACAAGAGAAGAGGGCATGATCAGATGTCTGCTGGAACTGAGGAGAGAGAAGATGAAACCAACTCATCGAACACATTACTAGGACTGTGGAGAGACCATTATTTCACATAAACAATGGTATCTCCTATATCATTTACCTTCACATCAAGTACCTTCATTTATTTCCTGGTAATAAAATGTTTATTCTTTTTAAAAATCATTCATCTCCTTTTCTAGAAAATGCAGGAGAACTAATATCATGAGGCAGGCTGCTATTAATTGGTTTCTTTATTGCTGAATTTGGGGACTGGTTCTTTTCATCTTCATTCCCCAGAGGTATTAGGATAATTTAGCAAGCCAATTACGGCTCAGACTTTTGAGTTGCTCCAGAGGCACTGGGAGGGTGTCTGCTCCTAACTTTGGAATCTGGAAATGTTCCAAGACAACAAGGGAATTTCAAACAAGTGTGCTAAACTTGTATATTCTGATTAATTCAATAAGTAAAGAAATCTTAGGCTAAAAGGGTGATTAATTTTAACTTATTTTTTAATTTAAATAATTCTCTAGTGTTCCTATCAGTCCTTTACAATCGTGTTTCAAGTTTATTTTGGTCGTTATAGGATTAAAATAAACCTTCATTTATAACATTGAGCCTAACAATTCCTATTAGCTTAAAAGAAGGAAGTGTGAATGAATCTTGACAATAAGCAATCTTAAAATAATTTAAACTCACTCCGTCTTTTTTGTCTCTTCCCAGTGCTCCATGAAGGAACTCCATTGACACATCTTCATTTTCATCTAGCCACTGCATAACAAAGGGTTCAAACCACCTAAAAAATTTAATGTTACATACTAAAAAAGAGATCGTTTGCACATAATTAACAATGAATGCTGCTCTTTTCTTATACGAGAGTAATTTAGGACCAAAAATCTCTTTTCATTCTTTTTTTTCAGTTCTGCTTCTGCAGAGATATTTAGCTTTACCTCATCAAATGTATACCTTTCTCTTTGACCTTCAGTCTCTTCTATTTCCATGCTGCTTCAGATATGCTTAGTTCCCAATTGCCACTCTACAATTCCTTTATAATTCAAAATCCTGTAAAATGTAGCTCTTGTGTTCTGTGTCCCCTATCATGACATTCTCTTATTTCTTAGTTCTTTACTGTCTGCCTTCTGCCCATACCATCCTGGGTGCTCACCTTTGATTCTTATGATCTATAGTATATCTGCATGTTGGGTTGCTAGGTTTTCTGAATGGTCTAAGTTTCAAAGTTCTTTCTTTTTTGTGTGTGAATGTGCAATTGTCTAGCATCATACATTTAGAAGATCATTCTTTCCCTCACTGCCTTCAATTGGTGTTTTTAACATGAATCAGGTAACAGCATATGTATGGATTTGTCTCTGGCCTATTTTCTCCATTGGTCTTTTTGTCATGCATTAACACTGTATCTTTTGAATAAGTGTTCATACCAAAGTTCTCCAGCTTTTTTTTTTTTTTTACCTCCTCTTCAAGATTGCCTTAGCTATTCTTAGCCTTTTGCATTTCTATATACATTTTTGAATGAACTTGTGAATTTGCAGAAAAATACCTGCTGGAATTTTTATGAGATTGTACTGAATCTGTGAGTCAATGGGAAGAACTACTATCTTTATAGTATGCATCTTGTTAGAAACACTGTATATTTTATTTAGTTCATCTTAAATTTCTCTCAACAATATTTTATAGTTGCTTAAATAGAGGACACGCACATCTTTTATCACATTTGTTTCTTGTGATTTTAATGCTATTTAAATAGTATGAATTATATAAAATTTTCTAATTGTGGCTATTATAAAGAAATTCAAAGAACAAATTACAGAGACTTACTACACTCACTTTTTAAGTTTCATTAGTTTTCCTGTTTTCTTTTTTTTTATTTTCTAGATGCATAATTACGTACTATACAAATACTGATAGCATCATGAAATGCTTTTACAATCATTATGCTTTTCAATCCCTTTCTTGTCTTATTGTACCGCCTAAGACTTTTGGTACAATGTTAAATAAAACTGATGTTATCAGCTATCAGTCTCATTCTTGATCTCAGGGGAAGCTTTTAAAAGTTTACCAATAAGCATCAGTCTATAAATTTTTTTGAAGGAGGGTCTTTTATTAAAGATAGTTTTCTTCTATTCCTAACTTGCTAAGAGATTTTTATAATAAATTGATGTTGTATTTTATCAAATTATTGTTCTGTATATAGTGTAATAATCTTCATTCTTTAAATGTGGTAAATTGCATTCATTACTTTAAAAATGTTTAATCCCATACTCCAGAAATAAATTCCCCCTTGGTCATGTTATATTAGTCTTTCTACAAATCCCTGGATTCTATTGGCAATATTTCAATTGAGTTTAGATTTTTAAAGTATATTCAGAGAGAAATTGGCCTTAATTATTCTTGTTTATCATGTTCTCAATAGGTTTTAATAGTCAGAATATGCTGACCTCCAGAAATGATTTTGGAAGTATTCCTGCCTTCTCTGAAACTGTGTGTGTAATAGTGACAATATTCTTCTTTTAAGAGTTGGAAGAATTCCATTTGGAGCCATCTGGGCTTGGAGTTTTCATTGTGACATGGTTTTAAATTAAGAATTCAAATTTTAAAATATGGGCCCATTCAGATTTTATTCTTTTTCTTATGTCAGCTTGTTATATTTTAAAAGGAATTTGTACATTCTGTCTAACTTTTAAAAGCACTGACATATTCTCTTATTATTTTTTATCTTTGTAGGATCTTTAGTGATATCATTTTCTGATAATGAATTTGTGATATCTTTCTCACACCTCCATTGGCCTTGCTAGGGCTTTTTTTGATTTTATCAGTTTTTTTCTTTTAAAAAAACTAACCTTGGCTTTGTAATTTCTCCTATTTAAAATTTTCTATTTATTTTTTATTCCAGGTCATATTATTTTCTTTCTTCTACTTTCATTTGATTTGTTTGTTAAATATTTCTTCTGATATTTATTTAATGATTTTATACCCTTTTTTTCATTATATAGAATTAGAGCTACAAATTTTTCTCTATTCCTGTTTTAGCTGCAATTCACAAATTTTAATATGCCATATTTTATTACCACCTAGTTAAAAATATTTTGTAATTTGCACTGATTTCTTTTGACTCATGAATTATTTGGAGTGTTCTGCTTAATTTTCCACTCTGGCGTTTTCTAATTTCATCTTGGAGTTGATTTCTGGATTATTTCTAGAGTGTTTCAAGAACATACAGTATATGTTTAAATCTTTTAAAATTTATTAGACTTTCTTTATGGTCTGGCAGATAGTTTCTTTTGGTAAGTACACCATGTGCATCTGATAACTATGTATTTGTCATTGTTGGTTATAAATTGTAGATAGGTTGTATTTGTATAAACAATGTCTGAAAAACGGTGAAACTTCTGGGTAACCAGATGTAGATATATAAATATGGTTATAAATGGATAAAGATCTTGAAGTGTATTATTTGTGTTGTTAAAACTTCTTTGTTCTTACTGACTTCTTTTTTATGATTCATCAATCAGTTTTTGAAAGAAGCATAATCTCCAAATAGAATTGTAGATTTACTGATTTTTCCTTTTACTTCTGACATTTTTTTCATTATATATTTTGCTGACATGTTGTATGATACATACAGATTTAGAACTGATATATCTTTTGTTAAGTTTCTCTAATCATCATAAAATATTTCTCTCAAAATATTTCTTACCTTAAATTCTATTTTAATATTGGTATAGCTGCATAAGTTTTCTTTCGATTACTGCCTATCCTTTTACTTGATATTTCTAGACCATTATGTTTTAGGTAAATAACTTGTAAGCAAGATATTTTGGGTTTTACTGTTTTATCTAATAGGGTATTTGTTGACTAAAGTATTAATCCATTTGCATTTAATGATTGCTCTTAATTTTCTGACATATTTAATTTTAAATCTATCCTTTTTCTCCTCCCCCACATTTCTTACCTCCTCTTTACTTTTTATTCTTCTTTTTTTTGCCTTTAAGTATTTTTTTACTCTCTTCTATCCCATTATCTTATTGATTCATAGTATTATATTATACCTTAATGGGTTACACTACAAATTATAACACACATCTGTGACAATTAAATGCCTTTTGAAATGAATATTTTATACTTTCCAAACAATTCAAGGATCTTATAACATATTAACTCCATTTATCATTCTTTCATCATTTCATGCTATTTTGTTTTGTATCTTAAATCTATGTATATTTTATTCTACAGATAAACACTTTTTATTCTTTACTATAATTTTACCTGTCATTTTCCTTCTGTCTGAAGCATGTCTTACAGTATATATTTTTGATGAGTCGCTGCTGGAAATGGGTTCTTTCAGCTTCTAAGTTAGGTAAATGTCTGTTTTGCTTTAGTTTTGAAGGTATTTTTATTGCTTATAGAATTCTGAGTTGATAGTTTTTTTTTCCCCAAAGAAACTTAAAAATATCAGTGCACTATATTTTGGTTTTAGTCACTTCTATTGAACAGAGCCAACAGTAGTGTAGCTCTGGTAAAGTGTCTTCCCTTCCTTGACCTCAGTACATTTAAAGATTTTCTTATTTTTGGTTTTAAGCAGTTTTCTATAATATACCTACAGATAGTTTCCCTTGCATATATCCTTCTTAGGATTTATAAAAATTTTAAATCGTGCTTCATGTTTTCATCAGTTTTACAAAATTCACATCTAGTATCTTTTCAAACATTGCTCTGGTATTACTTTTTTCTCTTCTCTTTCTTGGAGACTCAATTCTTTGTACATTAGCCCTTTATAATTTGTTCCACATATGCCTTGCTGCTTTTTTTTTTTTCCTTTCCTATAGAACTTTGCACAGTGCCTGGCATATGGGAGACTCCTCTTAAAAGAATAAAATAAAATTCTGGTAAATATCAAATACTGATTATCACAAGCTTGATTACATGCTTACAAATGTATTTAATAGAAATGTTTTTGAAATGTTACCTGTTTAACAATAAATTTGATTTTAGAAATATAAATCCTAATACATTTTTGAATTTGAATAAAAATTTGATTATACAGCTCAATGTACAAGCATTCCCATTTTCCCAACAAAATTTGAGTTCTAACACTTTCATAGAAAATAATCACATTATGTGAGTCATAGCTTATCATGTCTTTCTTTCTCTTCGAGTAGAATGTCCAAGTAAGGCATACTTGAAAAATGCAATGCAATTTAATTAAATATGGTTTCCCAAAGACATGCAAATCATTTAAAGTTAATTTTATAATAGAAATGTCTTCATTCAAATTAAGACTATATGAAGGGATTTTAGGGCTGCGTAACTCAGGTATGATTTTATGGGACTATGAATTGAGAATAAACTTGATATTGAAAATCACTACTTACAAGGAGTATTCAGGAACGGCATCCTTGAAGGCAGGAAGTTCTCGCACATATTCATTATAAAACCATTTCACTTTGAAATGCAAATTCATATAATCGGTGCTCTTGCATAACCGCTGCTTTTCATGTTCTATAACAGATAAAATCGAACACTTAATAAAGTTTGGTTTGCCAACAATGCTACTGTGTTCCAATCTACTTTTATTAGTAGTATTTCAAAAAGGGAGAAAATAGTATATTTGATATGACGGCATATCAAATGCCTTTTTATATTGCTAAATACAGACCTGAAATATTATAAAATGTAAAAATCATTATAGGTCCTACATGGAATAACTTGAATATTCTAATGTGCCTTCCTGAAAAAGGTAAAAATTCTGACACAGTTACAAGATAATAAAATACTAAAAATTTTCTATTTATCTGCAAGCTTTCATATTTTGATGATTTTAGCCTGATGCGAAGTGCCAGAAAGAATTAAAACACTAAGCGTGAATAAAACATGAATCAAACCAGGAGACATAATCCCTGATTAATACTGGAAATATGAATGAAGAGATCACAATTTTAGCCTGGATATTTAACACTTAAAAAATTAAGATAGTTGAAAAGGAGAGGAAATATATCTAACTTCTAAGCCAGATGAATTCTTCAACTTTTAAGTTCAGCTAAAATTATTTTACACCTTATGGCTTTTTGACATTACTTAGTAGGATTTCCTAATATGTGACACTTTTTTCCTCTCTTGCTCAAAAAGTATAGCTTAAAACTGTTATTTTGATTTGGACATACAGAGATAAATAATATTACTAAATATGTTTATCTCTGCTTCCTCCCCTAATATTAGTTTCTTGGCCCACTGCAGCTACAAATACAGACACAACCAAACCCAAAATATCCCTAACAATATTCAGGTTGAAAGCGCACTCTGAAAAGCTCTGGTTGAGGCTTGTGAATCTCTTTCAAGCTAAGGGCTTTGATTTACAGTAGAAATATCCTATACTTTATATTCCAGGCTGAAAATGCTAATTGAAACAATTAGAATGTTACAGACAAGTTGACAACACCCTCGCTTCCCAAAACCTGACTGTAGAGTAACTTGAATCTGAATAAGTGCAAGAGGAACCACAATCCCAAATAGAACATTTTCAAATTATCTAAATAATGATTAATTCAAGACAGTTTGCAGAGCAGTGGTGGGGGTGGGGGAAGAGAAAACACACACACACACACACACACACACACACACACACACACACACGCATAGAAACAAGAGTAATAAACTTCTAGACCACTCGGCTGAACAAAATTATGATCTAGGTGATATTTTGCTTTAATTCCCTCTGAATTCACTTCTCCCTTTCCCTCTTTCAGTGTTGGCTCTCCTCCTGCCCCCTTCCCTTCTGAAGTCTAGTATACACACCTTGAGAGAATTAATTTATCTGATAAACTCGTAGGTAGGAATTTAATGCAACACAATCCTGAAACCCAGACAAGGGAAGACCCTTGCCCTAGGACCCACACATCAAGAGGGCTCTACTTATCACAATTACAAACTTGAAAATTAAACAGTTTGTGGTCTCCTCTGTCACTTGTGATCCCACATGTGGTTCTAGCGCAAAGCAAGTTGGAACTCTAAACATCTGCCTTTGTAACTAATACCACCTCCCTTATGATTAACAATAGATTATTGCATAACAAAGTATTACTTAGGAGTATTAACAAACACCCATTTTCTTTGGCTCTAATTCATGCATTCAGAGGCACTTGTGAATCAATGCAGGTACACATGCTGGCTGAGTGATATTTTGAATATTAAATAATACATATTACTCTCACAATTTGTATGTATATGTGTAGTTCTAGATGTAATATACATGAACCCTGATATGGATTCTTTGCTAACTAGACTGCTACTAAGTGCTAGAATTGTCAATAGTTTTATTTTTTCAATTTAGATTAATGAGATTTAACTCATTAAATTTTAACTTTAGTCAAATGATTTACATAAAAGTTCACTTAAAATAATAATTTGAATTTTGTCCTCATTTTAATAACTTTTTGAATATTTTAGAAGGAAATAGCTTTGAAAACTGTGTATAAACTGTATCTGAAAGCACATGGATGTAATTTAAAATTTTCATTTTTGTATTTATGGTTTATTTTAAATTACATCTTTTTATAAAATACATATTCAAAGTATGTCTATTTTGAACATAACGACTTTTTTAACCCTTTAAGTATTAAGAATGTGTGTAAATTAAGATTGTAAAGAAAAAAATGTAAGTGGACCTCAAGAAAAAGAAACGCTGAAAATAGAAAATGTTCAGGACAAGGTGTTGTTAAATTTTTTAAAACAGGAAAAAAATAAAAGAGAAAAGACATCATGTAATTTGGGAAATGTTGTATAATTTGGTAATAAAAAATTTAATGTTTTATTATAACTGCATAATTAGTAATTTTGCTGAAATAAAAGTGAAAATATACATTTTCTTAAAATAATATAGTATTTGACTTATATTTATTTAAAACCCATTGTCACCCAGAACTGAACACCCAGATAAATATGCAAATTGTAATAAAATTATCTTTGATATTTTTCCAACTTTCAGCATATTAAAAAATAAGTTACACAATTTTTTTATCACGTTAATATGAAAGTAAGCTTATTTGTTGAGGTGGAAGGTAGAACACATTTTTATAGAAGTTTATTAGCTTTATTTAGAAATCATAAGTCTTTCGGTCTACTGCATGGTCTCCATTCGTGCTCTTGCCTTTGCAAATGTTAGGGATGTGCCTGATCTAATGTGTTACCTCTTCCAAGAATGTCTGTATAGTAACAGGATCCTAAAGCGAAGGATAACCCGGTTTCATCAAATACCAAAAACGTTTATTGGGCATGTATCTTGTGCCAGGTCATGTGTGAGAGACCCAGTGCTTGTTTTCAAGTAACTATTATATTACTTAATAATGGCCTAAAGTGATGTTGACAATTCAAATATGCCAAAGAGATGCCATAAAGTGCTTTCTTTAAGTGAACAGGTATATATGTTTAGGAAAAAACATAGTCTGTTATAGGGTTTGATACTATTTGGGGTTTCAGGCATCCACTAGGGGTCTTGGAATATATCCCCAGTGGATAAGGGGGTACTACTATACCTACCTTAAGTTGTAAAGACAAGAAACAAATTGGTACTGTGTTAAATTACATGGAGTTAGGTTATATGGGGTTATATTATGTTGCATCACAAAAGTGTTTACAAAGATTGAGACCCACTTGTTAACCTCCAAACCACTCTTTCTAATACACACACACACTTGCATTCAGACTATCCCCTTGCTCTGAGGTAGTATATCAGTGTAAGTACCTCTAGTAGACTGCACTCTGAATTAATCCATCATCACATAGAAAATCAGTTAATCAAATGTGTTAAGTTCATGTTAAGAAAATATCATATAGGCTCTGAGAGGAGAATAATCATAGAAGTAAAATACATAGGCTTTGTGGACAGACTAATACCACTTTTTATCTTCCCGTCAGCTTTGTTTCATGCTTGTGGGCTCTGAGCTATACTCTGAGTAGTTATTATTATCATTTAAATAAATCTATAAAAAGTGAGCTGTTACTGTTGCAAAAGCCATATGCCTGTTTTTCTCATGTCTTCATATATTACTCCCATAATGTATAATTATAAAAGGACATATTTCAAATAAACTACAAGTATATTCTACCACTCACCAAATATCAATGTGAGATTATAATATCAAATTCAAAAATATGCTTCAAATTAGCTTTAATTCTACCTAAATTGTCTTCTGCTTGGTGACAGACCACACTGACAAAATTGTATTTATCTCATGTGACGTGAATGACTCGTAGAATTTATTTAGCCATCAATTTTCTTACATTTTAATTTTGGCAACAAAGATTTAACTAGCTCATTACATTTACAAAACATTTAATTAGTTTTCCAAACAGCAGTATGATAATTTTGTATGAAATATAATCTTTGAATTTCAATGAGAAATATGAATATTTTACTATCAGAATAAAAATGCTTCATTAAAATTGTATAAAGGAAAAGCTTGGCAATTTAGAAGAATATGCTATTTTCCAGCATTTACTGCAAAGAGTATATTTTCTTCCGGAAGTTATTGTTTACACAAGTTAGTGTTTTGTGTATAATACAGAAATGCACAATTATGTATTGGTTATAGGATAAAGGTGGTATACTCTTAACCCATTCTTGTGCCAAGAGCAAATTGGCTGCCATAAAGCATCACAGTGCCATTTTCCATTTAATTTGTGGCATCATTTTATTGCATAAACACTCTGTATTGTCTTATAGTTCTACAATTTTGTAGAATTATCTTAATCAATCACCCATCTCAGTGTTTGACAGCTTGCTGTATCCTAAAAAATGATGATTTGGAAGGTCTGGAAGGAATATCAAATAAAAAGCCAGTATTAGGGGCCCAACACATGTGAAGTTTTGTGAGATATGTGTTCACAAATCTAAAACCTTATTACCCATAATTTTTGGCTCTAAAAATAAAGGTGTATCAGACTTTTAAAGATAATACACACATAGAAATATCTATCAAAGATAATCATAAATTCATATTAACAACAACACTGAGAATTCTAAGTCATTTTATTAGAAGTAAAAAAAAAAGAGAGAATAAGAATTACAACTTTCCATTTTAGAGAAGCTCTATAAAGGTTTTATGATGTCAGCACATCTTTAGAGTGAGAAATCACCTAAAATTCTGGCTGCCAAAGTTAAGTTATGGTATTAACAAGGTATAAAGCTTGGAGTAATAAAATAAAACTTAAAAAAAAATAAATGACTACATATAACATGTTAGCAAAAAGTAATGTGGACTAATGTGAAGCTTCCAGAAAAAAAAAAAAATCTAGCCAACAAGAGAAAAGATTAGCCACGGTAGTACATTATTGTAAGCAACTTTCTCAAAAATTAATGACTATGAAGGAACAAATGTCATTAATTTTTGTAAGGTAAGGAAGAAGATAAATGAAGTTTCTTTCTTGACACATTTCTGATAACTAAGCCTTAGTAAAACACTAGAAAAAAAGCCAAGCAAAATTAATAAAATATTTCCTTACTC